ATCAATGTTCTGGTTATTCGGTCACTCTGTCCCTTGGAAACTCAACAGTAATCTGATATGGTTGTCACAAAAACAAGCATGTTGCAAGTAGTAGACATACGTACAGCAGAGTTCCTGTGACTCAGTGCAACATCGTCTAACCAGAACACTGATAAACTTGATACTCTGGTTTTGAATCATATGTCTCAATTTATGCACCAGGTGAAGCAATATTTGAACGTAATTCCTGATCTGATTTGTTTGCTTCAGCTGTCTGTTTGATTACACATCAAACGATGCATGCTGTGGTAACATTTTACACAAACACTAATTTCTTAGTATTTCACATCCAAGCAGCCAGTCTGTCTTGTAGGGTTTTAAAGTGCTCTAGATTGATTGCTTTCCAGGCTTCCTGAAGGCCTTTTGAAGTTAGTCCAATACTTGATTATTTTCTACGCAATAATTTTAGTTTCCAGTCAGGTTTTCTTAGAGCTCATTCCACTGAAACAGCTCTTCTTAGGGTCTCTAATGACCTTCTGACTCACAGTGATGCAGGGGACTGCTCTGTTCTGTCCTGCTGGACCTGACTGCAGCCTTTGACACAGTTGACCATCACCTGCTACCTTACATAGACAAGCATCATCATAGATTCATGATCTTATCTGTCCCTACACCCCCGTTTTTTGTCCTTGTAAAGCGCCTTGTGATTTTTATCTTGGAAGGTGAAATATATGTATTAAAAAAATTATTGATGTGTGCTTGTTAAGCAAACTACTGTAACTCTAATCATTTGGATATGAAAAAGCCTCCTAAACCACCAGATAAACCAGTGCTGTGTCAACACTTGACTGACAAATTAGCAAACGACCAAATTTAAATCAAACCTGTGACATAATCTGCTCCTAATTCTTTAAATGCATGAAAATGACCAATGATAGCACAGTCTGACAGACAGAAGATTGTGTTTCAGCACCAATAAGGTGACTTCTTAAGGAGCATTAAGCTGAAAACATTGTATATTGTAAAAGGGTGAAGTATCTCTTGGTATTTTTTGGGACTTTGCTGGATTTTGCTGTTTTAATAAAGATGTGTTTTAGCAACAATTCATCTAATGTAAATTGTTTATTGGATCTTGTGTAAAAATGTAGTTTATAAAATATAATTTCTTTATTTCTTTATTTTTTTGCCTAAGTTTTGTCCCGAACAGTTGTCATCGTTAGACTGATTCATCAACTTCTTCTTACTCACATTTCAGAAGAGTTTTTTAATGCAACAGACCTGTTGCTAAATTATTTAACAGTCAGCAAGTCAAAGACAGGCCTGCTGGGCATTTGGCAAGGCAACATCAAATTATTCAATCTATATTTCATAGTCATGAATGAATAGATGGCTGCTTTTGCTTTATATAGCATTACATGATGGGTGGGGATAATTGTAAATGCTTAGTTAAGTTAGAGGCAATCTGAGGAATCAAACACTTCAGCTGAGGCTAAAGAAAGCTCTCCTATGAGGTTCTTTCTTAATTCATTTTTAATTATTTAACCTGACTGTACCTACCTTGAAAATTGCCACATTTAGAGAATACACTACAGGATGCACAAAACTGCCTCTCCATCTTTTAAGTAATGAATAATTGAAGAGGCACTAATTACATCGTGCACACAAGATGTCCATGTCAACAGTTACTAGTAGCTAATTATAGTCGCTTCCTCACACAACAAACAGCTGCAAACAAGCCCTGAAAATTTCAGCATAATTACTTACCAAACACTAAATTCATCCTAAGAGTTGTGATCAACGCTAGAAATGGACTGATATCTGCCACAGATCAAACCAGATCAAGAATTTGTTTTGCATAAACCGTAACTTGGAGAGCAGGTCAGCGGCGGTCCAACCCATTTACATAAAAATAAACCAGGCATCAAAATGCAGGACGAGCAGCCCTGCCCACAGCACGTAAACAAACAGGACAGGTCCGTGACTAAATAAAAATACAACTCAGATAATTATTTCTGCTGTTAACTCCTATTGATTCATGTAGTGGTTTACCTTGCTGCTGCATATTCAAATATTAATATTTGCTTAAGAGACACCTTGAGCCTGTGTCGTGGTGTAAGCAAGCCTTTCCATTTCATGTCTTAATTGCACAGACTGTAGAAGTTAAGATAAAAGACTAGTAGCACCTGTAAACAGGATATTTTAGCTTCTCTTTAGGACAATGGAAATTCACTGATTTACATTGTTCATTTTTATTATTTATGGTTATTTGGTCAAACCGGATGATCTGATTTGGAATCTGTAATTAACTGGCTTTTACATTGTGTCAAATAAGAAGAGAATTTAATTATTTCTGTGTTGTATTGTTTTTATTTACACACGAGGGTATTATTGTGTCAGGAGCAACTGGGTGTGGTTACTAGAGGCCGACCGATATATTCATTTTTTAAAATATATCGGTCATCGGCCGAAATTATTTTTAAGAGCCGATAAAAAAAAAAATCAGGCACCTGTTTGGCAAACTGCCACCATTACTAGACTGGAGAAATGACTCGAAGGACCCCAACACACTTTTTTTTATGTTTTGAGTTTGTTTTATATTTGAAGTTCAATAAACCTTAAGAGATTTATTGACTTTTTAAATTTATATTGCACACAGTGAGTGTTCAGTTGTCTTTCACAATCAATGTGCTGCTAAAACGTGTGTGTGTCAGACAGGTCGGCTGGATTCGGGAGTTGAGCTTGTAGAGAGCGTGGTTTCACAGACGCGGAAGTGATAGCGTCGGTGAAACGCCGGCTCACAATTTAATCTAGGAATCCCCGAGCGTTCGAGCGTCAATGAAGTGACACGGAAATGCTGGGTTTTCCAGAAGTAAGTAAGAACACTTAGTGTGAGCGGATAGTTCGTAAGATGGATCGGTTGATTGGGAACTCTGATCATGGATCTGAAGAAACGATGACTGAGTGGTGAGCTGGGGAGGCGACTTCCGTATATAGTTGCAGTTAGTGACGTGGAGGGAATCCCCGCGAGGGGCATGCTGGGAGATGTGGTCCATGGTGGAGATCGGCTAGCTGGTAGAGGTTGGCTTGGGGACTTGGGTTCTGACAGTGCATGTATATATATATATATATATATATATATATATATATATATATATATATATATATATATATATATATACCGTAAATCCTCTAATACAGGCCCGGGCCTGAATTTGACTCAAGCTCATCAAGCTCCTGGCCTTTATTGGAAGGAGGGCCAGTATTAGAGGCAGGCCTCTATTTCTATTTGAGCAAAATGAACTAACGGTTCGCTGGAGTTTTTGACAATTAAAATTGCGCCCCATTTTCAAAGTTAAACACATTTCTTTTAACAACGGTAGTTTCTGCTTCAGCCCTCTCCCCCCTCCCCCTGCGCAGCGGCGCAAACTCACTGATGCGCCTGCAGCCTCTCGGAGTTCCTGCTGCTCTAAACATTAAAATAATTATTTCATTTTCTGTTCCTCACTTCTGATGTAGGTAGATTTATCCCACTACACGTTTTAATGTTATAAAGTAAATATTATTCATAAGCTCATAATGTTCATATATCCCATGCAATTCAGATCAAGTTCAAAACTCCGTCCCACCCAGGGATGTCTGTTTGTTGCAACAGCAGGTACAAAAACTAACTTGTTTTTATTTGACTATTTTTCTGTCCTGTCTGTTTATTATCTTCCTGCATCTCCTCTCAATCCTAAAGAAAAACTGCTACCTGGGTTCATATATATTCACCTCATGAGTTACCTTTGAACTGCAGTTCTAAAAGATCTACCGACCATAAAAACAGCGGAGTGCTCGCTGTTTGGCGGCCGTATCAGTGATCAGTGCGTCGGAGGACAAGGTGATGCGCGCAGCGCCCCGCTCCACAGCATGCAGCGAAACGCATCAGGCGCAAATAAAAGACAGAAAACATTAAAGGAAATGAACTGACATGAACGATCGCGTGTTAAATTAGTTTTTGAGGTGGCGACACCTGATTGTTACTGTGGCCGTGCTCAGGAGGCAGATCTACCGACCGCGAAAACAGCGGAGCGCTCCCTGCTTGCCGGCCGCATCAGTGATCTGTGCGTCGGAGGACAAGTTGATGCGCCCCGCTCCACAGCAGCGATACACATCAGGCGCAAATAAAAGACAGAAAACATTAAAGGAAATGAACCGACATGAACGATCGCGTGTCAGTACAGTACATATGGTCTGGCGCAGCGCGTTGCCCCCCCCCCCCCCCCCCGAACGCAGGAGCTTGTCACCAGCTGACAGCAGGCTGCTGTCTTTTCCGAGGGCTGCATCTTGCCGGTCTTTATCACGTGACAGCGACTAGTCGACGACAGGCATAAAAAGTCACTATAGTGAAGTTGACTAGTTCATACAACCCCTACTGCTGCTCTCCAGAGTGTTCTGCAGCATAATCAGCACGTTCTCTTTGAACTTGATAGTGTAATGACCTGGCTGGGGTTGTAAGCCAGGTGCATTCTGGGTATTGTGTTATATGTGTTTCCTATCGTTCTGCTAGTTCCTATGTGCTGATTTGCGTGTTGTGTGAGTGTTATGTAAGCCACAGGGAAGGTGATGTGTGTTCTGTGGAGCGGGTTGAATTAGCATTAACTGACACAGTGACTGTGTGGTAGGAGCCTGATAGAGAATCGTGTCTGTAGCGTTACAAAGCGTTGAAGAAAAAGCTCAAAAAAGGTCTGCGTGAACCTCTACTGCCTCCTGCTGGTTGATTTGGGGACTATAACCCTGCCGCTGAGATGCTCATACTTGCTTGTAACCACATTCCACCCGGCCACAATAAGTGACCGGCCATTATTCACCTCTGCTGACTCTGACACCAGCCAAAATTGGATACCCGGCCTTTAATTGAATACCGGCTTGTATTAGAGGATTTACGGTATACATACATATATATATATATATATATATATATATATATATATATATATATATATTTACACACACACACACACACATTAGGGCTAGGAAAATTAGCGTGTTAATTATTAGCGTTAAATTTGTTATTTTAACGTGTTAAAAGTTAATGATGCAATCAATTTGACCATCTCACCAACCTGGAGCCACCATTCTTCAAACTTTTTCCATATTTCCCTGTGGACAATATTGTTAAACCATCATTTAATGAGCCCGAAAAATGATCAAGTTTCTACCCATATTATGGACTCTCAGCATCGAGGATTCTTTTGAGAGGAGAAGATGAACAGAGGCAGAGCATTCATATGCTCCACCAGCATCTGCGTCTTGCGCACGGCCACAGTAAGATTCTCAAAGAGGGGCCACCAAAATAAAGTTAACACACGATCGTTCATAACTACTTTGGTACTGTCTATTTGTGGCTGACATGCATCGCTGCTGCGCTCATCACCCATCACCCTAACCCATGCTCCATGGCCGCAGCCATGCAGCGTTTTTTATGGAGAACTAGATCCTGCATCTCCCTGTGGCAGATGCAGGATCAGAGACAGACAGGACAGGATAATAATAAGAAAACAAAACAAAGAGCTTGGAAAGGAAAATGTAGGTAGATTTATCCCACTACACGTTTTAATGTTATAAAGTAAATATTATTCATAAGCTCATAATGTTCATATATCCCATGCAATTCAGATCAAGTTCAAAACTCCGTCCCACCCAGGGATGTATCAAAGCATTTGGGGGCCATGCCAATGAGGTGTCCTTTATCTTTTGGGAAATTGGCAAAACTAGTTCAACTGATGCTGTGGAAAATGACATTTACATTGAATAACATAAGCTAACTGTGCTAGATTTATTTCCTGTTCATTGTTTACACAATAGACTTTTTCAAACAATGTGTTTGAACAGAAACTGGATTTGATTTTAGGTTTTCTCTTTTAAAGACAGAATTCAGTAATTTTACACACGTCAACAATTTATGCTTAGATATCGGCCATCGGCAAAAACATTCTTTATAAAATCGGCATCAGCCTTAAAAAAACCATATCAGTCGGCCTCTAGTGATAACCCATGGAAGAGAGGTAACAAAATAGGCTTTTAATTTAATTTAATTTTTAATTCTAATGCATCATTAACAATCGGCAATAAAAACAACTGTGACAGTTTTTCAATGGAAAGGACTTTAAAATCGTATTGGGATCTCAAAACCATTATCGGTGTATCTCTACTTACACCAAATTCACCACAATATTCAGAATCAAAGTAAAAGACGATGCATCTCAATTTCAATGCATTCTCATTCAGTAACAATAAAGGCTTTCTGATTCAGATGAAGTGTAAAAACAGATCTATTTGAGCGGTTCAGAATTGAAAAGGAATGGAAGTGTTACGTTTCTCAATGTTCTGATTAATCGGTGGCACAGTCTCAGAGGAACTTTTCATGTCATGAAAACACACTTGTTTGTTGTGACGTTGTTTCATCTCTTTCTAATTGCTGCTGACAGACGACCAAGAAATGATATGCTGATTATGCTACTTGCTCAGAGGCAGATCCACTTAGCTTTCTGTCCAAACTATGTAAGAATCAGACAGTGATTGTTCAGTCAAACCTCCCAGCTGTCAATCCTTGAGTCCCTTGTTTAATTATGAAGTAAATACATCAACATCATTACTGACAAGCCAGCAAGACATTTAAAAGATATTAGGACTAAAATGTGTTCTACCAGATGTGTGATTAAAGCCCCAGACCCACTGCGGAATTTGAGACAGGACGTCAGGTATGGTTTTCAGTAAAACTTTTCTATTGCAGTTTGAGCTCTCATGTTGGCAGGTGGGATTAACATACCGGCATGCCCAATTTCATAAATATTTTCATGCTGCAATTAATGGTCTGCAGAGCTAAAGATAGAAAGGTAAAGCTGACCAGGCTCCACATGTGACTCGCGGTCGCCGAGTCCTGGCCTGCCTGCTGCCTTGATTTGCCAGTCTGTGGCTATAAATAGCATCCAGTGCATCGTAGTGCCTTCATGTATTTCTCCCATTTCCACTACAATGGTTTCTGTGCTTAACTTTTCTAAACTGGGCTTTTCATTTCTTCAGCTTGGCCTGACACCATTCTGATGTCCGCTCAAATCCTTTGGCTGCCATTCTCAGAGAATCTTCTTTTAAAACTTGCATTTCTTAGCAATCTGGCTGGCTCGTCCTGAGTTTGGCCTCTCATGACGATGGTGAAGAATATATGGAGCTCTGAAGTTGACCAAACCTTGCTGCTACTTGCTGGCATTTTCTCACATCTGTGTAAGACTAATGGAAATACAAACAATGGAACTCCGAGGTTTGTTTTGTTTGTTGCAAGTAGTGATGCATTTCTCTTCCCCAGTCATTGCTCTAACCGAACTGCTCCACAGTGATTTGGACCTACAACAGAAAGAGGCCACGAAAGTGCCGGTAGTGGCGCGGTTCGGGTTGGCTGTGCGAACTGATTTTACAATTGTGACAGAAAAATTAGCAAGCTGACTCTCTTCAAACCCGTCCCAAACCCAGCGATGGATCTTTCAATACAAGCTTAAAAGATTGAGAAAACACTTCAATTTAGTTGATGAGTGCAGCTAAAATTGTGTGTGTGTGTTCAGGGAGGTTCTGCTCAGACACGTGAAAAGAGAGTTACAGTAGTCTAAGCGTGAGGAGATGAAGGTGTGGATAACTGTTTCAAGTTCAGAGCAGGACAGAATGGGACTCAACTTAGCAATGCTCCTGAGATGGAAGAAGGAAGAGCGAATAAGAGAACTGACATGAGAATCCAGGGTGAGAGAATCCAGGGTGAGAGCTGGGTCAAAGGTCATGCCAAGATTCCTGACAGAAATTCTCCACTAACCTCCTCTCTTCCACCTTGCTCCTGTCTGCGATCCTCTTCAGTAGTGTCCCTGCTACCATCTCCTATGATTGCCAGACTCTTTTGTCCTTCCATTCGTTCACGATCCCCCAAGATGCACCGAGGACGTACCATCCTGTTTGTTTACCTGAGCGGCGCACTGGCCCGGAGCAAAACGACGGTTCCGAGCTGCGCACCTCTGGCTATGTTTATCCGGTCCTGGGAAAACGTCGGTGGAAAAGAGGTAAACGAGCAGGAATCCAGCAGAGAATAAGACTTCTCTTAAAGCGTGGTTTATCTAGTAAACATCTGCGTGATCTTCTAGCTTCTTGTCCTTTGTTTGGTAACCTGAGCGCCACTTCCGCATTCCCGCCAGGCCACGTTGCAGCGAGGTTCATCCGTCCAAGTTTTTTAAGGTCGGTTTATCCTCATTCCTCAGTGGTTTCTCCTCCTGTTCCCTCCATAAGTGGGTTTTATAAACACTGTGGATCTAACCCTGCTAATTTAAGTCCACTAACTCCAGCTGTTTCTGTAGTTTCTGATTCCTCCTCCTCACTCAGCATGGCTCTATTAAATACCCGCTCTGTTAACAATAAGTCCTTCCTGCTCAATAATCTAATTCTCTCTAAAAACCTGGATTTTCTGTTTCTGCCTGAAGTTTGGCAGCAAACATCTGATTATTCTGGTCTGATTGAACTTTGCCCGAGTGGTTATTCTTTTCTTAGCCAGCCCCGGGGTTCTGGTCATGGTGAAGGCCTAGCTGTTGTTTTCAGAGACCATCTTCCATGTAGCTCTACAGCCTCTGGTCACTTTGCTTCCTTTGAACTGCAGCTGATTAAAGTCGGGCGTAAGGACCCGTTCTACTGTGCTGTGGTCTATCGTCCACCTGGTCCAAACAGTTCTTTCCTTCAGGAGTTTAGTGACTTTCTATCCTCCACTGGGAAGCTGTCCAGACTGGTGATTGTTGGTGACTTTAACATCCACGTTGATGATCCCTCTGATCACTTTGCCATGAATTTCTCCAGCCTTAGGGACACCTTCGGCTTTACCCAGCATGTTTCTGGCCCTATACACACCAGAGGGCACACACTAGACCTTGTTTTTACCCTGAGTCTAAATGCTGACAGTGTTTGTCCTGAGGACGTTTATATTTCAGATCACCATTGCATTTTCTTTAACTTGTCAGTTTCTGCGTCCCCACCTCCTGCTCGCCGTATGGTTTGTTTGCGTTTTCTTAATGAGAGCACAGCTAGCAATTTTTCTGCTGCTTTTGATCCTCCCTGTTCTTCTGATAACGACCCAGATTCCTTAACTTCTCAGTTTAACGATGACTGCCTCTCCATTCTGGACAACATCTGTCCTGTCAGAACCAGATCAGTTCCGGCAGTGAACCCTACTCGCTGGTTTACTGACAGCCTTCAAAGCCTGAAGTGCCAGTGCAGAAAAATTGAGCGTTTGTGGAAGAAAACCCATCTCCACGTCCATCTGCTGCACCTAAAGGATCTTCTGACATCCTTTAACTCTGCAGTCAGAGACACCAGGGTTTCCTATTTCTCCAACCTGGTGTCCCAGAGCAAAGGGAACCCCAAGGTGCTGTTTAACACCATCAGCTGCATCGTCTCTCCTGCCTCTCCTACAGCCTCCATCCACTCTGTTACAGACTGTGAGAACTATCTGTCTTTGTGGACAAATTCAATAAGGTTAGATCTAGCATCTCTCCTTCAGCCTCATCTCTGCCTCTCCCGACTCCAACCAGGCCCATCATCCTAGATAGCTTTGCTCCTGTTTCTTTGCCTGAGTTAACCAAACTAGTTAACTCTATGAAGACCTTTGCATGCCCCCTCGACATCTTACCCTCATCTTTGTTTAAAAGTGCTTTTCAGTCCATCGGTCCCAGCATGCCCCTCTCTCCATAGCAGCTTCAGACCCATCTCTAAACTTCCGTTCATCTCCAAGATCTTGGAAAAGGTTGTGGCTAAACAACTCACAGCTGCTCTTGATGAACATAACATCTATGATAGCTTCCAGTCAGGTTTTCGTAGAGCTCATTCTACTGAAACAGCTCTTCTTAGGGCCTCTAATGACCTTCTGACTCACAGTGATGCAGGGGACTGTTCTGTTCTGGTCCTGCTGGACCTGACTGCAGCCTTTGACACTGTTGACCATCACCTGCTACTGGAGAGGCTGAGAGACTGGGTAGGCCTATCAGGATCTGCTCTGGAGTGGTTCTCCTCTTATCTCTCTGAGCGCTCCTTTTCTGTGGCCGCCTCCAAGTTTAGGTCCTCCACCACCTCTCTTACGGTGTCCCACAAGGTTCTGTGCTGGGGCCTCTGCTCTTCCTCCTCTATTTGCTTCCTCTTCAACACATCCTGAGCTCCTTCAAAGGAATCTCTTACCATCTTTACGCAGATTACATCCAACTGTACATCTCCTTTAAGCCCCATGAGATATCTAAGCTGCAGCTGTTACACACCTGCTTAGACTCTATCAAAACCTGGATGGCTGGGAGCTTTCTTCAGCTGAATGAAGATAAGACTGAGATCCTCATCTGTGCCCCAGACAAGCTGGTTCCCAAGGTCAGAGACTCTCTTGGTCAGCTTGCTTCTCACACCAAACCTTCTGTCAGGAATCTTGGCATGACCTTTGACTCAGCTCTCACCCTGGATTCTCATGTCAGTTCTCTTGTTCGCTCTTCCTTCTTCCATCTCAGGAGCATTGCTAAGTTGAGTCCCATTCTGTCCCGCTCTGAACTTGAAACAGTTATCCACACCTTCATCTCCTCACGCTTAGACTACTGTAACTCTCTTTTCACGTGTCTGAGCAGAACCTCCCTGAACCGTCTACAGGTGGTTCAGAATGCCTGTGCTCGGCTTCTGACCAAGTCCTCCAAACACACCCACATCACCCCGCTTCTCCTCCAGCTTCACTGGCTGCCAGTCAACTTCAGGGTTCATTTCAAGATCCTGGTTCTGGTCTATAGGGCCTTACATGGACAAGTACCATCAAACATTGGTGATCTCCTAAGTTCCTACACCCCCAGCAGGTCCCTGAAGTCCAGTGATCAAAGCCTACTGGTTGTGCAGCACCAGGCTAAAGACCAAAGGTGACAGATCATTTGCTGCTGTGGCCCCCAGACTCTGGAACTCTCTCCCCCTGAGCCTGAGATCAGTGGACTCGGTGGTCTCCTTCAAAAAACAGCTGAAGACTCACTTGTTCAAGCTGGCTTTTGTATGACCTTCAACCACTCTCTCTTTATTCTGCTCTCCCCGCCTATTCCACCTTCCTCAGGATCCACTGATTTCCCTCTTTCCTATTCACTCTCTCTCTTTATTAACATTTTTTTAATCACAATTGTCTATTTTTGCTCATTTTAAATACATTTTTAAACATTTTCTAAATGCTTTTTTATATTTTTACATTTTTTGTTTTTGTGAAGCGCCTCGCGATTTTTATCTTGAGAGGCGCTATAGAAATGATTCTTTCTTCTTCTTCTTCTTCTTCCAACTGTTAGTTTTTCCTGGAATCGTTCAAAGTATTTTTTTTTTCGATTCCTAGTTTTGATTCCTAGAATGCCGGCGGAAGAGGAATTCGTGGCCGATCTCTGTGAAAAATAAACGTGATCTGCAAATTGTAATCAAGGCTTTTCAGAGCTGATCACACCAGCTGTCTGTGTGCAGCACCGAGTCCCCCCTCCCCCCACCCGCACGCAGCGGCCAAATATAAACAAACGCGTCTGCCGAACTTTTACTCTGTAATGTAAACTTTACCTCCTGCAGCGTAGAGGAAACTTGTTAAATACGTCAACACGGTGGATTTAATAGAAGCTTTAAAGAACAAACTCTAGACGGTGTGAGGTGAGTTTGTCTCACTGCAGAAATAAAAACACACACGGAGCGTCAGCAATCAGACGCAGCCAGCTACATTTAATTCAATTCAATTCCATTCAAAAATACTTTATAAATCCCAGAGGGAAATTGATTGCTGTAGTAGCTCAGAATAATAATAACAATAATCAAGTCATCAAAGAGTTGATGGGTGTGTCCGAATCCATGGGAAGGATGCTTATGAGTATGGGTCCTCGCCGGTCTAGCAAGGCCGGGTCCTTGCTAGACCGCTAAGACCGGAACCCAGCGGCTCTGAATTCGGACAGTCTAGCCTTCACCTCTACGGTGGCCCGTAGGTCCCGTCACAGCCGTGGCGGCAGCTACACGCAAAGGAAAAATGCTAAAGCTAGCGAAAATCGAGCAGGAATATTAAGGAGCTACAGCAGCTTCACGTCCATCAGCAGCGTTTGTTCACAACCGTTTTCAGGTAAAGTAACTTTGTTTATTCTAGAAGCTTTCAGGACTTACATGTTAACTTTAGATGGTTTCATGTATGTTTTAAGCTACAGAATGAACTTGTTAAACGTACACAACACATTTCTACAGAGTATTATCATGTAGTTAATAATTATAAACCAAATGCATTATAAATGTTGAATGCAGCAGGATGTTTTCTAATTTTATTTGGACGTTAGAATTTCTTATTTAGCATCAAATGAGGATAAAACATTGTAAAAAACAGGCTTTTTAATAAAATAGCATTGAAGTGTTTTCAGTGTACATTTGTTTATTCAACTTAAGCCTAATAATGATTAGATCTGTCTTAAAAATGTAAATTCTCTGTAGTTTTCCCTGCTGCTTTTCTTTAAACTGAACAGAACCAGTGTACTGCAGGTTGTTTTGTTTTACATTTTTCAATAAAAAAAAACTTTTTTTAATCTATTACAGGTCAGCATGCACTGTGCTGCACATCTGCCTCTGTGCTGGTGAAGTTGTGTGTCTGGAGGATGAGCCTGAGGAAGATGTGTGTGGAGGAGGTCAGTGGTGCTCTCTCCTGCAGGAGGTACCAGCAGACCACCACTATTGTTAACAGGCAAGTCATTTATGGAAGAACCTCTATTAAAAACAACACTGTGGTTTTATTTGCTGAAGAGTCACAATTGTTATACCGGTGGATCCATAAACCATCTCCTCTCATATTTCTGAATACATCTTAGAGATGTAACAGCCGTCGTCTGAGCCAGCCCAGCAGTCCCTGTAGATGGACGATGGAGTGGACAGTGAGAGGAAGTGTCCCAAAGCTCTCTCTGCAGACCGATGATGTTCCTCTTGCCAGAAAAGTCCAGCCACGGGTCTGCTCCAGCCCTCCATCCACGTCTGGATCCTCCTGCAGCAGATCCAGCTGCACTGTTAAAGACTTCCTGCTCACTCAGTTTAAATAAATGATCCAGGAAGAGTCACTCAGGTTAATCCTGCTTTAACCGTGCATAACTGGTCCATACTGGTTTTGATCTGTAAATAAGTGTAACGTATTATAAATAATCTTGTCTCCTTACCATCTTTTCATTTTCTGTTCATGTAACATGTTCAAAAGCATCTGTAATAATAAAACTGGTTATAAAATCAATGATCAGAGTTATCAGTTAGTATTTGTTTTAATAAATGTGTTCAAATATCAAACAAACAGCTAATTAACATTAACATGATGACAATAGAAGGCCTCTCTCCCAGGATGACAAAAAGGTAAAGCCTCTCCTGACCCTGGACACCTGCAGTCCTACAGAGAAAATCAGAGACCACAGGTGACAAAAATGCAATAAACACATTTTTACATTTATCCACATGAGAAGATAAAAATTATATTTTTCACACAAACTATTTTTACTTTATTATAACGTGTCAGCTGTGTAAATCCCTGAATGTAAAACTACTTTTCACAGCAGAACTACTGTGGTTGTGTGTGTAAACAGCTTCACTCTTCACCTCTAAGCTTAATAAAAATGCTTCTTTGCTCCGTCGTCCTTAAAACAAATGACAAGTTTAATTCGCCACACACACACACACCAAAAGGAATAACTGGGACCTGTGAAACAAACTCATTTTTGCTGATTTCTGCCTAAAATGTAATTTAAAAAAACAAATATACAAACGAAAAATGTCTATAAACAGAACCACTTTCAGCTTAGTTTTCTACCGCTATTTTTTTTAACAAAGCCTGCTGGGATCAAGCTAGTTTACGGTGGGTTTTTACTATTACACATTCAAGCTAGTTTTCGGTGGGGCATGTTTTAGCCTTAAATTACATGAAAAAAACAATTTGCAGTATTAGATCTTATATAAAAAACAAACCAAAAATGCCCAAACACGTATTTTATTTTTTTGACCGCTATTTCTTTTAAAAACTTACATTTTAAGCTGTACTGCTCTCCCACTCCGTCCGCCATTGTTGTGAGTGTCGAGTCCAGCAACCGGCGCGCAACGCATGCTGGGATACCCTTGCTCCTGTGAGGATCCATCAGACCCATCCTCGAAATGTGGGTGGAGCGAGGACGCATTTGAGGACGCGAGAATGAGTATTCTTGGAATTCGGACAGTACTCGTCGCTGCGCTGTGACGTCATGGACCTCAAAATGCGCTCTTACAAGCATCCTTCCTCTGGATTCGGACACACCCATTGTATATTACAATGGCTGTTGGCCAGTTTCACTTCCTGTTCTGACTGAAGGCTGCTGCAGCATGGAGGTGTGGTTCTCAGTCATCCTGGACATGATCATCCTGAGAGTTTTAGCTGAAAACAGCTGGACGTTTCTGGATATGTTGGAGTCATTTAGCCTCTCATCCCAGAGGCTTCTTCCAGACTTTGGTTGTGGTCAGAAACAAACACACTAGGACCCGTGGTTAGCTGGCTCATTTAAAACATGGAATGTCTTGAAAGAATCGGAATCGGGAATCGATAGGAACCGGAATCGAAACGAGGAATTGGAATCAGAATCGTTCAAAATAAAATGATGCCCAACCCTACAGTAGACACCCACTCATGCTCCCCATACACACTCTATGCACTCTGGTCCCGGTACCACTAAACAAAGCGTGCAACCATCACTGGTTCCCAGAGTTAGCCCCTTTCTGCTGGGGTGATGATGAGCAGGCTCCCCTGCTCAACGCTGAGCAAAGTAACCCATGTTGAATTTTCCTACAATAAATTCAGTCTAAAAAAATCCCTAATATTGTCTGGCTGAATGTATTGTGATATATCGTACCGTCTTCCCTGTATCGTGATACATATCGTATCCTCATAATTTCACCAGTACACCTCCCTATATTTACCAGGAATGTGAGTCAAAAAAAAAACAAAAAACAATAACTTCAAGGATATGTTGGCCAGCACTTCATGGGATAAGTTATATGAAGAGGACAATGCTGTTCATAGAAGTCTTTATTGTTTTGATGAATGTGTCCCTTTGTTTTTATCTATCAAGCAGTTTAATCAAGCATTTTTTAGGCCATGGTGCACAACTGACCTGAGGAAGCTGCTTTAAAAACAACATATGTCTTTTTTTTTTTTTTTTTTTTTTTTTTTTTTTTTTTTTTAACGTGTCCTGTCTGGCTGTGAAGCAAGCAGAATTGATGTCTGAATGCTGGTAACAAGCCTTACAGTTTTACTCTCAGGTGGAGCATCAGAGCATCTGCTTTTAATGTCTCAGGTGGAGCATCAAAGAGTCTGCTTTTAATGTCGCACCTGATATTTAAAACTTTATTGTTATTGTTTTTGAATGCTTTGTAATTTCGACCAGACACGGAGACAGAGGCGAAAGAGAAAGGAAAAGAGAAAAGGTGGGGAGAGAGGGGGTTAGGTGGGGGGGGATTCAACAAAAACAAACAACAATGAACAAGAGTCTGCTTCCAGACCTGCAAAACGAGACGAGAAAAAAAGCAAAACATAACAAAAAAATGGGACACAACACCAACATAACAAAATCAAGCCATCACTGCGTCAACCTGATGAAGAAATACATAATCAATCATTGTTTAACTAAACAGTCACACGATAATATACCACAGTGCATTGAGTGCCCACCACAGTCCCAAGACATGTGTTGAACGTGCCCAAGCCCATACCCATGAGAGCACCATGTGAGCACCTGCGCGTGTACACGCGCCCGTCCATGCAAGGTTTATCTATAGGAGCGCCCAACAGAGAGTGTGAGGGACCACAGATCCGCCCCCCAAAGACGCGCAGGAGACGGGGGGGAGCTCCAAGTCCCAGAGATCCAGGCGCTGCCCCAGAACACAGGAACCCCAAGGAGCCCGCAACCAGAAAGGCCCCCGCCCCCCTCGAGAGGCACAGAGGATCGCCCCGGGGGGCCACAACCAGCAGCCGGCAGAGCCCCGGGAGATATCAGCGGCAAGTCCTCAGGCCTGCCCGCAGCCTCCCACCCCCTAGCCGGCCGAGTCCGGGACCCAGTGACCCGGGACCCAGGGGCGACCACCCCCACCGGGGACCCAGCAGAGCCCAGGGACCCAGACCCCCCCAGGCCGCCACCGGGATTGATCAGGCAGATGCCAAAAATCTTAAACTCCCTGACCCGGGATCCACGAACACTCAGGCAGACCAAGGCATCACACCCACACCAGGTGTGACAGGGGGGAGGGGAGACGAAGATCTATATCATCAAAGGAGGTCCCAGGAGAAGGGAGGAGTCAAAGGCCCCACCTGACATATACAGTCATACACAAACACAGTCACACACTCCCTCCCTCATGCTCACACATGCACATACAACCAAAGACTTACAAAAATACACGCCGGACACCCATTCATGCTCCCCATACACACCCTATTCACTCTGGTCCCGGTAATGCTGCACATGGGGTACAACCACCACCGGTTACCAGAGTTTGACCCTTTCTGCTGGGGTGCTGATGAGCAGGCTCCCCCGCCCACCGCCGAGCACAGCAACCCACCACCCCAGACCCCAACCAGACGGCCAGATCTCCCTCCTAGTCTCCAGCCCCAGGCAGCCAAGCAACAACAGAGGTGTGCTAAGACCCCCTGGTCTCCCTCCACCTGCTCCAACATAGTGTTGTGTGTTAATGAGGTGTATTCTATTGCTGTGGTGAGCGGGCAGTGCGGGCATTTTCTGGCCTATGCCAGCTGATGCCACTGCACCACCCTACTTGCACCCACAGCCCTTGGTGTCTAAATGCAGTTTAAAATTCGAAGTGGGCACCGGCACTCGGGAGGAGGCTGAGAACTCCCCCTGCCAAGTGCCGTTGAATGTGCTCACTCCCAAGGCCCTAAGTGTATGTTTGCGTGGAATGTCGTCGGTGGAAGTGCATAAGGTGCAAATAAAATTGGGGGGCGGGAAGCCACAGGAATGCGGAAATGGGGTCCATACCCGCACTCCCCGACTTGTCCACCCCCCAAGGTCCTATGTGCATGTTTGTGTGATGATGTGAGGGAGCAGGAGGAGAGAAATAAACGGGGATGGGGAGGAATGGCTGGTAGGGCTTAGCCCTCCAGGGAGCCAGCTCCCCCACTGACCCCAATAGGCACCTCCGTTGTCATACCGCCGCCCAGGGCATGGAGACCCCAGCCCATCCTGCCAGGGCCCAAAGCAGCAGCATCACAGAGCCCCACAGAGCCCGAGGGAGCCGACCCAGCCCCACCCCAGCAGAATATCTATGCCCATCCCTGCATTTGCACAACTTCCAGAATATATAAGACATAAGACATCCAGGTAAGGTTGGGTCCTCCCCCTCCTGGACCTCCCCCTCCCCTGTGATGGGACAACAGAGGAGCCAGGGCCTGCCCTACGCCCCAGAACCCGGGCCAGGTACTTCTGCGTATTCCTGCCTTCTTCCCGGCAGCGTACATGTAGGGACCCGACCCCCAAGGCCCAGCCCAGATCCCCACACGGGGCCGGCCACCCCAACACCCCGAGCCCCCAGGCCCCCACCCAGACCCACCCAGGGGCAACGCAGCCGCCAGGCAGTGACCCATGGCCGCCACCAAGACCTCCAAGGGGCCCCACTCACAACCGCCAGCAGTACACCCCCCGAGGCAACCCAAGCACCTCCAGAGGGGGGGAACGGCCCCCCAGTGCCAGACATCCCCAGTGAACCCATCCCCAGGGAACATCCAGATACTCCAAACTCAGACCCTCCACCCCCCCACCCACACCATCCCGCAGGACATCATCAACGGCCCCCCATCACCGCTATGTGATGGAACCGATCAAAGGAGCCCAGAGAGATTTATTTGAAGTGGAAGCAGAGGCTAAATCAAGTGCAATATGATCTAACAAAAGATTTCTATACTGGTTAATGCAGAGATTTTCTCTATTTTTCCAATTCATGAGGATAGTTTTCTTAGCGATGCATATGGCAGTCAGAACCACGTGAACCAAAGATTTTTCAATCGGGACATCATCCAGGTTTCCCAGTAAACAAAGAGAGGGGGTGATTGGGATATGACATTTCAGAGACTTTGACAGGTCTTCACATACTCTACCCCAAAATTCCTGGACAGGTGGACAGGACCACAGTGCATGAACGTAATTGTCAGGAATGTTGTTTGTGCAGTGTGTACAGATGTCAGACGACACAAACCCCATCTTGAACATCCGATGACCTGTATAGTGTACTCTGTGTAGAACTTTGTACTGAATTAATTGTAAATTGGGGTGTCTGATCATTTTAAAAGTTTTTAAACAAGTTTGGGACCAGAAGTTCTGGTCAAAGCTGACTGATAGATCCACCTCCCATTTTTCAATAGGGATTGCTATTCTATCGTCTATTTTGGACAGTGTCTTATATACTTTAGACAGTAGTTTAGGGGGTTTGAGATTGCAGAAGTCTAAAACCCTTGGCGGGGTTTGTAATTCTATTTTATTGAGCTTAAATTTTTGTTTGACTACAGATTTGATTTGGTGGTATTCTAAAAAGCTATTCTTTTCTATTCCAAATTGGGAGACTATTCTATTAAATGGGATGAAGTCCAATCCTTCATATATGTTTTCCAGGTATAGGATTCCTTTATTTTTCCAGTCCAGAAGGTTCATCATTTTATTATTTTGCAAAATATCAGGATTATTCCAGATAGGTGTGCGTCTGCATGGTACTAGTGAAGACTCTGTCATTTTAAGATACTCCCACCATGCTGTCAGAGAAGTGCTGATACTAATACTTTTGAAGCCTTCATGTTTTCTTACGCTTGAGCTAATAAATGGTAAGTCTGAAAGCTCTATCGTATTGCAAAGTGTCTGTTCTATATCTAACCAGGACTCGTCTAATGGGTTATCTTGCAACCATCTTGGTATATATTGCAGCCTGTTGGCTAAAAAATAATAATAAAAGTTGGGTAGATCCAGTCCTCCTCTGTCTTTGCTCTTCTGAAGCGTTTTTAAGCTAATTCGTGGAGGTTTATCCTGCCAGAGGAATTTGGTAATTGAGGAGTCCAGAGATCTAAACCAGTCAGCTGGTGGTTTGTTTGGGATCATTGAAAATAAGTAATTTATTCTGGGTAAGACCATCATTTTAATTGTAGCAACTCTTCCCATCAGTGATATTGGTAAGGATTTCCATCTAGCAAGATCATCCTCCACTTTCTTTAAAAGTGGGATGTAGTTTAATTTGGTTAGATCTGCTAACTTGGGAGAAACATTAATTCCCAGGTATGTGATATTACCTGACTCCAGTTGAGTATTAAGTAAATTGACAAAAGAGAAATTAATTGGTAAAACTGTTGATTTTAACCAGTTTATAGAGTAATCTGAAACTTTTGAAAAAGAGTTTATCAGTTCTATTGAATGAGACAGAGACGATTGAGAATTCTGGAGGAAGAGTAAAACATCATCTGCATAAAGACTGATCTTATGTTCTATTTTATTACACTTTATCCCTTTAATACCTGTTGTTTGCCTAATTGCTGCTGCTAGTGGTTCGATAAAGATAGCAAACAGTGAGGGGGAGAGTGGGCATCCCTGCCTGGTCCCCCTCTGAAGACAGAAGCTAGCTGATATTTGGTCGTTCGTCCTAACACGTGCAATTGGCGAACTGTATAATGTTTGTAGCCAGTTTATGAAGAAGTTCCCAAAACCAAATTTATGTAAAGTTGCAAACAAGAACTTCCAGTTAACTCTATCAAAAGCCTTTTCTGCATCTAGAGATAATATACTAGTTTCTATGTTTCTACTGTAAGAGAAATCTATCAAATTAAGTAATCTACGCGAATTAGTGGACGACTGTCTACCCTTTATGAAACCAGTTTGGTCAGGGTGTATTAAGAAGGGGGTTACCTTCTCTAATCTTTTTGCCAGGGCTTTACAAATTATTTTGAGATCAACATTAATAAGAGAAATTGGGCGATAGCTGGTTGGAAATGCTGGGTCTTTGCCTGGTTTTAACAAGAGACTAATATTGGCTGAGTTCATGTTTGGCTGTAATCTGCCGCTCTCTTCGATTTCCCTCACCATTCTGAAAAATGTTGGAGCCAAAATGGTCCAGAATTCTTTGTAGAACTCTGCTGGGAACCCGTCTGGACCTGGAGCT